CCCCCCAAACGTCTCGAGGCGCCCACTTGATATCCTTCCCCGCCGCCATAACCTCTTACGCAGATGACACCCAACTCTACATGAGCACAAAACCCTTTTTCTCACCCCCCCCCTCCCCCCAAAGTAGATTGGCTGATGTAGATTGACATCAGCCCCAAGGCACTGCTCAGTAAGGTTGGGGACCTTGTGTCGATCGACACTTCCACCATCTGCCTATCCTCTAAGGTACGCAACCTCGGAGACGAAGACGTCCTTGACTCCACCCTCTCACTTCAGTCCTACATCCACCCTGCCACCAAATCCATCACTGACCAACTTCGCTCACTGAGAAACTCATCCACTCTTTCATATCCTCTTATTCGGGGTTCCCAACAAAACCCTGGACAGGCTCCAAAATGTCCAGGACTCCAGGGTCCTCACAGGCACCAAACTCTTGAAGCACATCACCCCTACCCTCATTCACCTCCATTGTCTTCCGATATACCGGTCCGACCTCGTTCATCCCTACACCCCATCCTGCCTGGACTCTCTATTTTCTACTCCCATCTCCGCACCTTGAACAATCGCTTCTTCAGCTTTGTCAAACCCACCCTCTGGAACTTTCTCCCCCACTGTATACATACATATACAAAATATATCTATTCCTAGTCCATAGTCCTGTGGTCTGTGCCTCCTCAGAACTTGGCGGCAGAACCTTGAACCTGTTGTGGTACTGTTGTTGGTTCTGTTCCAGCAAGATTAGAACGGAATGGAACATGGTGTGATCCCATAATAATCCCAGTCCCCTTGTTATACATATTTGATGTGTTTTTACAGCCATTCCTCACATCTGTTTTACACTGGTTCATTTGGATGTCGGCATGTTCTTTCTTTATTTCCTGCTCCAATTACACTCCATCTTTAATTCATGCCGATACACGCATTCTAATTTGACCCTAACTAAATAATTCAAGCTAAAGATGATGAGTGAAATATTACTTCTGCGACTTAATCACCCTGAAGAAATGAGCGGGTGGAGAGTAGAGCGTAAACTGTTGGTTTGGTCTCGGCTAAATATCCCCCTTTGCTGCTGCCGCTGCTGAAAAACATAGTCTTTGTGGAGAATGTGTTCACTTCATTATAATTAAGTGAATTGAATTCAGTGTTTTAATTTACATTACATAATTAAAGACAAAATGATGGGAGGTAACCTTTGGTTTTTGCCAAAGTCAAAAGTCGAAACTCGCGAACCATGCGTAAGTGCCAATGTCACTCAGCTACGCTAACATAGCGAATGTAGCACAATCCAATGTGTAGCGCTTCATAACGATGGATTTGTACGCTCCGCTTAACCCTCGCCAACTTAGTTTCGCACAGGAAGGAGTTGTTGAGGGTTAATGCGGTACGTCGGAACAATGGAACAAGACTTTCGTGATAAATTCATGGGAAATAGCAGCGTACCCATAAAAAGCTAAAGTAAGTCGAGGCTGCCGTAAACCAAGGGCCACTTGTATTTTATTGTAATAAACTGCAAGATCACGGTTGCGTGTAATCTCTTTTAACAAAGACTTTTCTTATCACCACAGCCACCAAGTCGGCATCACTGAAACGTAACGTGTCTTTCGACCATGAATACCCGATGCACTGCTAGGGCGCGCGGCGAGCAGTGTGTGGAGACGGCGCCATGCTCAGCGAACCTCAGAGGTAAGCAGCTCATGGACTTGAACCTCAAACCTTTCAGACCCAAGTATGCTTCATGAACTACCATGAAATACCGCTGGAGCTCTGATAATGTTCTATAATATGGAACAGCATTGAGTTTCTTTCGTTTTTTTTTTTTTTTACCTCCTCCTGCAGAGTAGAGAGTGACTCAGACAGAGTGTGGTTTCCTCCG